GCTGGGACCGGTGGCGTTTGGGAGAGCCCCATGGCCGTGCTTGAGAGGGGTATCCAGCATCACAGGGCACGGCAGCATCGCGGCGGCCAGCCCTACGGGGCGATTTGCACCCCCAGTTTAGGAGTCCAGGGGACAGACGGCGTCTCACAGTCCCCGCGAGCGGTGGTGGGAACCGGCACGTGCCCGATGGAGAGCGTGCGTTGGCGGTTCGGGTCTCGAGCGGTAAAGGAAGGAGATAAATCACGGGCTTGTTGTTATTGAATTTAGTGGCTTCGCTCTCACATTCAATTTCTCTCGCCGGCTTTCCGAACAAATAAGAAATTACAGTGCAAATGTATTTTTTGGCCTACCAAACATTACGCGTTAACTTACCTGTGATTAATACTACGCAGGGTCGATGAAATCCTCCGCGGGCCGCTCTCCGCTCCGGCGAGACCTTGCCGTTCCGCACTTCCCTGGGATTTATTCTGTATTCAGTTTGCCTGTAGTCGTAGTCTTTTACAAGGAAGGCAGGAGTAGGAAGAAGGGGAGATGGGGACTGTGCGCTGCTGCGTCGCTTTTGTCCCCGCAGGCTTGGGGCTGAGCAGCACCTCCGGATGGCCACGTCCATCCCTGGTGCAACCCCAGCATCCCTCTGGGATCCCACATCCCATCCCCATGGCTGATTAATTCTGCACGGGAGGGACCTCTGCTCGTTACGGCTTTATTGCCCTCGAGCAGTTGGGGAGGATCGCAGTTGTTTTCCTTGGCTGGCATACGATCAGGCGTGTCGTGACGTGTGTGTGGGATAACGGGAGCTGCTCGGAGGAGGAAGCTGTTGAGGAGAGGCTGTCGGAACTACTTGGTATTTGCTGTGTCGGGGATCTAGGGCAGGGGGAGGTAAATGTAAAGAGCCAAAGGCAATCCAGGGAGAGGATGCCCTCAACAGGTAAATGACTAGGAACAGCATCCGTAGTCGTGCTGGTGGGCCACGAGGTATTAGCAGGGCTATCTGACCCGGCCCTTCGGGGACAGGAGAGCCTTTGGACCCCATGTCCAGCACCGATCCCAAGCTTTCCCTGGTTTTAGACACGGTGGCTCTGGTGGGATGCACCGATCAGGGCAGCTCTGTGTGTGCCGTGGCCGTCCCTGCCTCATGGTATTTATAGGGAATGGCTGCACTTTGGTTTATCCACATGTTCATGTTTGGCAAGTCCCATCCCTGCATGAGCCCAGCTCCTACCCACTCTTCCCATGGGATTAATTCCCCCCAAGGGGAAGCCGGCGCGCCCTTGAGACGCTGCCCTCGACAGCCCAGCTCGTGGGATCTATAGAAACATAATCAAGGTCTTTAGATGTCCTTCTCCAAGTCCCAGTAACCTCGTAGGCAACGATCGCCGTCACGGCAGGGTATCGAGCCGTCCGGCGGGGTCCCTGCGCTCTCCGCGGGCATCCCTCCAGCCGCGTGTCCTTGCCGGCTCTCGGGGGCATTTCTGACGAGATTCGGGCAGGCAGCAGCGCAGCACAGCAGCGCTTCCACTTTCTGCACGTCCCTTTGTCTGCTTGTGGTGTGGGACCCAGGGGAGGGGAAAGGGATGCCGGCCGGGAGCCGGGAGAGCGCTGGGAGGATGAGGATGCTCCGGCATGCTCTGGCTTACCCCCTGCCTGCCCGACCTCCCTGTTTAGCTCGGGAGCGCGTGGCCTTCTCCTAGGGGTGTGTTGCTGGAGGACAGTCAGACAATGATCGTCTTTGACAGAGCCACGGCCGTCTCGGACCAAAACCCTCAAAAAGGAGGGCTGCTTTGCAAGCTTGTGAGCAGGCGGCAGACACCCGGTTGCGGGAGGGCTTGGCTTGGACGCTGTTGTTGGTTTTAGCTTTTCGTGGCAGCCCTTGGAGGTGGCCTTAGTGGAGGGGAGAGGTGCAAGGATGCTGGTAACAGGGGAGAAGGTCATACCTGGAAGCAAGGGGCTGCGCTGTCTTCTCCCAGCGTTAACCACGTCTTCCAGCGGTTGCCGGTGCGCGCTCTTTATTTTTGGATTGCTGCTTTCCCCTGAAGGACTCAGGCAGTCTCCCTCTGCTGTAACAGGCTGGACCTCTATATTAATGTGTCAGGTTGCTGGGAAATTTAGTGCTTTGTCGGGGCTGTTTGGGCCGTGGAGACCACGGGTGCCCGCGCCGCGTCGTTGCCGCGGCGCCTCCCGCCGTGCCGCGCCGCCTCTCCCGTGCCGGGGAGGGAGAGCGGGCGTGGGAAAGCCTGTCCTGCTTTACCTAAGGGAGCAAAAGGCTTCCTCGGGGTGTTGTTTTGTTTTAAGCCTGGTGGTTATAAGCAGCTTAGACCGGGCTCCTCAGGGGATGTGGCTGTGGTCCCTGCAGCCAGGTCAGTTTGGGCAGTGATGTGGCAGCCCCAGCACGACAGGGACAGTCCCCGGAGGTGACAGGAGAGCCAAACAGCCCTCACGTCCCCTTCCAGGCCATGCTGCTGTCGGCCATGGTGGTTTTCAGGCGATCGTCCCGGCATCCCAGCGCTGCCGGAGAGCCCTTGGCGTGAGGGTTGTGTGTGCGATGCCGCGTGAGCTGGGGCTCTCAGCACGGCGTGCGCTCGGGGAGGGGGGCTGCTTTTAAAAGATTGGGGTGGTGTTTAGTTCTGGGTGGGTCATTTTGTGCGGCATCGTTCAAGGACTGGGACGCAGACCCTCTCGGGGGCCACGTCCGGCAGCCCGGAGCGCCGGGAGGCGGCGTGGGCGAGCGGGCTTTAATTGCTTTTTGCCAGGGCCGGGGCTATTTATGGGTGCAGAGATTGCCAAGTTATTTATTAGATGGAGTATCTGGGGACAGAGTAACGTAAATCACTGTGGCCAGTATTGAATGAAGCAGACGCTCGGTAATTTAAACAGGTTTAATAAATATGCTAAAAGATGAGCCTTGTCGCGGGCTGTAGCGGAAGCCAGTTATCGGGGTCTCGGCTGGTGGGGGGGTGGCGTTTCCAGACCCCGCTCGGGGCAGGGGACCAGCGAGAGGATCCCTCCATGCCCTGGATCCACACTCTGGGTCTGAGCTCCGCTCCAGTCCGAGGTGGCAGTTTGGAGACATAGGGTTGGCGACCGGACAGGGTGATGGGGTGGATGCCGATGTCCGGTGATGGGGCCGGTGTCATGGCCGGGGCGCCCGTGGCATATGGGTGGCTTGGTGATGCTGGTGGAGCCTGCTGAGCTCGTTTGTTTATGATGGCTTTGCTCTTCTTTGTATCTTGCAGTTCCCCCTCAGATCGTCAACATCTCGTCGGACATCACCGTGAACGAGGGCAGCAGCGTGACCCTCATGTGCTTGGCCTTTGGGCGACCGGAGCCCACTGTCACGTGGCGGCACCTCTCCGGGAAAGGTGAGACCACTGTCAGGGCTCGGAGGACGAGATGCTCGGGTCTGAGGAACGGTCTTGCCCAGCCTGCCTGGGATGGGTTGGTGCCACCATAGAGGCATGGGTGGTTTGCTGGTGTCCGGTGCGGAGGGTGGAGGTGCTGGCCTGTTAGTGTGAGGGTGAGGATGCTGAAGTGATGTGCCAGGTTTCCCGGGTGAAGGGTGATGATGCCACGTGTTTTGGATGTCTCCCAGGGCAGGGCTTTGTGAGCGAGGACGAGTACCTGGAGATCACGGGCATCACGCGGGAGCAGTCCGGGGAGTACGAGTGCAGCGCCGTCAACGACGTGGCCGTCCCGGACGTGCGGAAAGTCAAAGTCACCGTCAACTGTGAGT